GAACATGTTTTAATAGTGGTGTCATCAAGCTTAGCTCATGAACAGAATGTTCCTTTATCTCAGTTGTATGAAAAAAGTGTTTCTGGCAAGATTCGCTACCAAGGCGAGAACCATAACCGTTAAACCACGGAGGACCTATATGATATACGTGCAGATCTAACACCATGCACTTTCTCTTATCTGACTGACTGACATTGGCCTGTATTATTTGACGTACCAACTGACCGACTGATTTATTCATCGAGTGGAGCTAGCTGTATACCTGCGTGTTTAAATGTTTGGCCTAATTTAAATTGATTTGGTGTTAATACTAGCCTGTGTAATAACATTACAGTTCGAAACCAATAGGCGGTGGTCCCGATGGGTTGGTTTTCACTCAAACAAGGGTTTCAAATTAAAGAAGGATTTTGAATTAGAGGGCGCACTGTACTTTTTAATTTTTTTTTTTAAAGTGTATTAGCTGAGGGCCCGCATCCATGGACCCTCAACTAATACACTTATGATATAAGGCCGGCGGAATTCATTGCGCCACTTAATGCAATTCCAAGTGATTGTATAATGTTCTGTATAAAGTATCGGTTGCAAGGCCTCTAAAGTTTTGTTTGTTTTACTGTACTCATTATTGTTGAGTAACTGTAAACCTTCATATCATTTACCTTGGTTACCGCATCACAAATCCTTTAAACGCCCTCTACATTAACTGACACTTTCTCCACTTGTATTTGATACGACCAACGTGGGCCTATCGACGACGTAATTAAATACATTTAGCATTCGTGAAAAAAAATCAAAAAACACAATAGATTTGTCGTAATGCCAATAATGCAGAAAGTTGCTTAAATCCAACGCTCAGCTATATGCTTCCGTCAAATGTCACAAAATAATTTAAGAGAAAAAAAATAGCTCCGTGAGCGCGGGTTTAGCATATTGCAGCGGAGTATTCTACTTAACATTAATTTATGGGGTTTGCTGCAGTAGATGCCAGCTTCATCCGATATGTCTTAATGGGATATCTTATATTATCTATTTTAGGCCTATTTCATTTTAAGTTTCTGTTTCAAAATATATGTATTTTAAAATATAACCACAGACAGTTAATCTTTAAATAGAAGGAGACTGTGTCTATAAATTTCCGTTAGACACATTGATAATTTCAAATTATGTAATTCATCCCCCCTAGGTAAAAAAGTAAAGATAAAGGTAAAGGTATTACTGAACGCAGTATAATGAGCTATTAGTCCAACGTACTAAGCTTCGGCATTCATTGTGTCGTATTATTTATTATTTGTCTTACAGGCCCACCTGTATACACACACTCCATAACGTTTAATATAGATAAGCATATTAGGAAATACATTTTATTTCTGTAACATTTAGTTGCGATGTCACTGTTTATCAGATAAGAAGAGATGATATAAAACCATATCTTCTTAGAAACGAAACATTGTGAACGATCGTCGAATTATTGAAGATACGCCATTCATACGTGTGTGTTATCAGTCTGGAAAGAATTTAGAGAGTAACTGGTCGGAGCTGATGACACGGGGTTCAACAAGGGTGCCTCTATGGGAAAGGTACCGTATCCAACGAGCACGTAAGTGGGCGTATCCAGGGGGCTAACGGCTAACCAGAAACATTTACCAGGGTCAAGGGAAGAAATTCAGAAAGCTCTAACAAGTTTGGGGTTTGAATGGCTTGTTAATCGTTCGATCGATCGAAAAAAAAACAAAAAAAAAACAGTAGAAATTATAAAGGAACCTTTTTACGATGTGGTTTTTCTGCCCCCGAATCGGGATGGCTAGTGGTCCTTGGGCGTAATGGGCCCTTTTGTATTTAATAATCTGCTCTCTTTTAAAACACGGGCTCAAACCGACCGTGTGTGGCTCATTAAGAGAAAGAAAACATTTAAAAATACATCATAATACGGCATCAATCAAGATGCCTCCACTGGGCCCACGCATCCACGAGCCTTCAGCTAATATACTTAGGAATGGAGGCCCATGGAATTCATTGCGCCACTTATAATGCAATTCCAAATGAATGTATAATGTTCTGTATAAAATATCGGTTGCAAGGCCTCTAAAGTTGTGTTTGTTTCATTGTACTGATAATTGTTGAGTTTAATCGCCTTCAGTTATTTAAGGTTGAATCAGCATTGCTTTACAGGCTTACACGACAAACAACAACGCTTCACAATAGATTTCCTTTCGTGTAGGAATTATACTGCAACTTAAAAATCGATGATCTATTGTATTGCCTTGGAATAAGCAGGGAGTTGTTATAGTGACTTCTATAGAATGGATGTTTCCGCTTAGCCCCGCCCCTTGGATATGGTTGCTAAGTCCCCGAAAACAAATGGGTTAAAGTACGTAAAGACGTGAAGGGCAACACTTGTGTTTGTGGGACAAACGGCTGACTGACTTTCAAGTTGTTAACACTATGTGTCAGGGTCGGTCCAGGGTGCAAGTATTTCATTGCTTATTTTGAAGCGCATACAGAAATTCGAAACACAAAAGGGGGTTGATGGCGGGATGGTAGTTCCAACAGTGGTGGCACCAAGGGGGTAAATTCCAAGTGGGTTGCCACAATGAAAATAAGTTAATATGTTAATTTTACATGTTTTTATTATTATTATTATTATTATTATTATTATTGGTTTTGTTTTGTTTTCGTTTTTGTTTGTGTGTGTGTGTGTGTGTGTGTGTGCTACCCCGAATGTTTCTGTTATATGATTATACAATATCTATGTTGTATAGGCATTATTTCACATCTGAGATTTTCGAATTAATAAATAATAAATAAACAAAATAAAAAATTACACCTCCCCGCGACTGGAAAAAAAGCACAATTCGGGGGGTTGGGGTTAAAAAAGTATGTATTTTATACATGGAAGTGAACTCCGTCGGAGACATTGGACCCCCTTCGAGAAACCTCGTGCCTCTATTGAGTTCAGATGGTAGGTCCAGGCTACATGAACCCTACCGTGGTTGAGGTTCAAAAATATATATCTGTGGCACCTGTAGATCACCTGAAACGGTACTCTAAAACTTAAACTTTTTCTTATTGTTATATTCATGTAAGTTTCTACCTTTAGGATATATTTTTCTATTTTGTAATACAAGCATATTAAGCTCTCATCTATTGTTTTGTAATATACTTTATACCTTAATAAATTAATTATTAAATAAAATAAATTTCAAAGAATGTTTCCCCCTGTTTTTTAGTTTCCAGGAACTTCCGGGTCGACTGTGATCTCGCTCTTTTCGAATCCTCCTGTGTTATAAATGCAAATACATAGGCATAGTGTGGCCTTTTGTATCGACTCGAAACAGAAACCATCTTAGTACTCAGAACCTTTACTTCGTTACATAGGCCTATATATAGATATTTATTTTCATTACTATTGATACCGTATCTTAGGGGGGAAAAATCTGATATGAAGGAAAAAATAAAGTAAACAGACTGAGGTATTCCGAGTTGATTGTCTTGGGTTGGCAAACAACTACAATAGCCTAGCCTGGTAACGTACATATGTTCACGCGTCGTAACCACGAACTAAGTTTACATACACTTGAAATTGAAACGTAATGTTTGACATGCTTTTGTAACTACAATGAGGAACAGACACTGACCGTTACTATGGGTACCATTGTGGACTTGCAAACAAAACAGAAACACATATACAGTAACATAAATGTATTGAATTATAAAATAATAACGTGTATTTTAATTTTTTTTTAAATATGTTGTGAATAATAATAATAATTATTAATAATCATAATAATAATAATATAATTATGGACGTAATTGTAATAATAATTGATTGATTGAATGAATGAATAAATGATTAAGGCTATAAGTAGAAAATGTCTCAAGAAAACCTAGTTTGTATACATGTTGTATATACATATACACACATATTATATATATATATAATATACTAAATATAAATTATATCTATTTATATCTTATACAGTATTTAAATATAAATATATATATATACTATATATATTGTATATATATGCTTATATTATTTAGTATATACTGTATAAGATATATATATATATAGATATAATTATATATATATCTTATATATATATATATACTTGAATATAAATATATATATATATATCTTATATATACTATATAGGCCTAATATAGATATATTTGTACACAATAATGTACATTATGCATGGGTGTATTATGTATAATATATACACCTATACGATGTACCCTAAATGTTATTAGAAGACATTCTCAAATAGGAGCACATTTTTAAAATGAGAGGAACCAAACCTAAAAGTCTTAAAGGCGCGCTTAGGTTTCATTCACATTTGTAAACCAACCGGGTGATATTCTGGACCAGGATCAAATCTACCATACAAATCAACCTTGATATTTTCCCAGCCATTAAATTTAAGAGGATTCATTTAAATTGATGTTCTAACGCTTTGTACTGTATACTGCACAACTGTAATTTTATTTTGACATAAATAGGAACCTCGTCATTAACAGGACAAGGTTGATACGACTATAAGGTTGATATGACCATAGTTTCACAAGAAAGAAAACCCTCGTGTACATTGTTTTTAACAGATCTCGGAGGATTACGTCTGTTCATGCAAACGGATTGACGAAATTTATGTAAATGCCTAATAGGCATATTTGTTTGGTCGTACATACATAGGCCCATTTAAAATATCACTTTTCTAACATAAATATCAACAGAATGATGCGTCCATAATCCAACCTTGCACCTTAAACGAATCCTTAACTGAATATTTTTTTTTTAATTTATGCAGTTAACGATATATTTTATTAATTGTAATCGTGTGTATAATAATAATATTAATAAAACATATTTTAAAGCAAAAAAACATTTAAAGATGTATGTCGTTACTAACGTTATTTTGATTTATCAGCAATATCCCATGCATTTTTGACTGAGCCTTTTGTAGCACTTGACGACCGTGGGTTTAAAAAGTATTGCGATGGATAGTCACTAAAATCTTGGTTTAAATTGTGAAACGTCATGCTCCTCGCCGATATATTTCCAACGCTTTTCATAGCAAATACTTTCTCTTCATCTGTTTCTTCGTATTCCTGTCTGTACACATTTTGATCGCACGTCTGCTGCAAACGCATTGTGTAGTAGTCAACGCAATAATCTTGATCATTCTCAAGCCCCTTTAAACTGTCGAAGAAATTATCAAAACGATTTGGGAATTTAGCATTTTCTATTCGTTTTTTGTTCACATCAAATATTGTTACCTTCCGTTCCTCACCAAAAATACTCGGTATAACTTGTTTAGACACCGATTTTCTCTTTATATGTAGTTTGTTTTGTTTTTGTTGATTAATTTTAGAGTCTGGTAATTTTTCGAGTTGTGTAATGTTTGATTCTTCTAATAACACAGTGTTTGGAACATACTCATCTATCATTTTTCCATCCGTTTGACTATGTGTAATTTTAGGTTGAGCTGCTGAAGAACGATGACTGTTTTCGGTTGGTTCCTTCTTCTCTGCTATGCAATTCAAATCCAAATTAGAAACTGTTGACATTTTCACTGCTAATTTGTCAGTGTTAGGCCTATTGATAGGTGTTTCTGGAAGATTTTTTTTAGACACGGAACAAGAAGCTGTTCTAGGCCTTTCGTTTGTTGAGTGACCATCACTTTTAGACCCAACAGCAGCATCCCTGATGAAGGCTCTCGTCTCCAATGATTTCCTTCTTGATCTAGCGATAGATGTTCCTGGTCTCTTACTCAACTTAGTTATTACGGAGATATCAGTGTCCTGATAACTATTTTCGCCGGGATTTTCCTCGGTATGTATTCTAATATCATTTTGAATAGGATCATTTTGCGCAGGTGTAGCCTCATGAGACTCCTTTTTCTTTTCACAAGTATTAATACATTTGGCAGCAGGATCATTACCAGATGAGATAGAAAGATGCGATGACTCGTCGGCTTGGGTCTTCGATACAAATGAAGTGGCTCTCGACGATGAAAGCCGCTGTTGCAGTGCCTTCAAAGCAGCTGCTTTCTTTAATGAAGCTTCACAGTCCATAACTTCGACATTATTCCCATTAACACCAGTAGTCTTAGGTCGTCTTCTTTGACACACAGGTCTGGATCTTTGAGATCTCGACGGTGCAGAAGCTACGTTTCTGTTAGGAGGGGAAGTTAGCTTGACAGTATACTTATCGTCTTGGCCAACAGACGTATTGAAGCTGAAGTTATCTCGATGCGTGAGCTGTCTTAACAAATCCCGATTCTCAGTCATTCTTGCATTGTATATCTTGGATTGATGAAGTTTCGTTTGAAAGCGTTTGTTCACTATCCTCTGGTCTATCGCAATACTGTGCGATACCCTTCGCTTAGACGTGTCCAGCATGTTAAGTGTTTTACTAAGTAGTGTATCCAGTTTCCAGTTGGCTGAGTATACCGCCTGTGATTTCTCACCCACAAGTGTACCTTTTTTATCCTTCGGTCGTCGGAAGCTCATCATTAACCATTAGTCGTCTAGGTTTAAGAAATCGAAATTTAAATCCAATAGTTTTCAATCTCTGCATGCATAGTACATATTATCTAATATACAATTAGTTAACGAACAGACGTCCAGGACGGTGTTAGTCTAGTTTGTTACTGCCTACCACAGTTTACTCGCTGTATTGATTAGTGTACGCGCACCTAGTGTCTTATGTTTGGAGTTAAGATTACCAATCACAAACATTGAGGCCAATATATGACGCTGGTATAACGGGCCTATTGTTGGGTGCGTTTCTTTTCATACGAATTCACAAAGCTTATCTTATGTTCACAACCGAAAGAACAAATACAATCGATCGTCCAGAGGCCATACGCTAGGATGAAATTACATTACCATTTTTTCGCTCATCTTTACATCATGTTTCCTATGACTAATGTTTCTATCATTTTTGGAATGTGTATAATATAACTATATATATATAAACATATTTATATGTTAACATATATAAATAAATAAATATATATATATATATATGAATTTATAGTCATATATGATAAACCTAGAAACAACAAGTCACCTAATGCAATTATAAACAATTACAATATGTAATTATGAACGTTATAGTAGAAAAAATTGATTTTTTTTGCATAACGGTCATCTTATGTTTGACTACAACCTTACAAAAACATTCATAATTCATCGATTACTATTATAAGAAATATTATCGACATAATTATACAGAATATGAATAGGTGTATTGTTTGTCTAATATAAATAACTTAGTGGCATTGACTGATCCTTGACGTAGAAAATTTAATTGATTTTGTTAATAAATATAATTATGTTATCATTCGAACCCTAAAACATTAACTAACAGTGCTTTGTTTATACGCTGTGGATTCATAAACTATTTTCCAAAATGTATTCGATAATGTTTGTCTTCTTGTTTTCAAGCAGAATCTTAAAAGGTAATCCACTGCTTTCTTATTAATTTTCACTTACCATAGAGAATGTAATCATGATCTTAAATTGTCAACGTTTTGATACAGTTAGCCTACATTTTGTTATTAATATTAACTAAAGTGACAAATATTTGCAACAGTAATCTACTATGGCTATAACATGTTATAGTAATATTCTAAGAAAATTAAATTAGGTCTGATCATAAATTAGGATTTATAATTAGCCATAGTAATCAAACAGTCATTTAATATGGAATAACATGTTATAGTAATATTCTAAGAAAATCAAACTTTCCATATAGAATGTAATTATGATCTTAAACTGTCAACGTTTTGATATAGTTAGCCTATATTTTGTTATTAATATTAACTAAAGTGACAAAATATTTGCAACACTAATCTACTATGGCTATAGCATGTTATAATAATATTCTAAGAAAATTAAATTAGGTCTGATCATAAATTATTATATATTATTAGCTATAGTAATTATATTTCTTAAATATAATTTACTATTGATTAAATATGTTTAATGGTCAAATCGCACGTACTTTTATATAGTATTAGACAATTATTATGGTTTATTATCGGTATCAGCAATCTTACTTTTGAGAGTCAACACTTTTTGCATTAATTCTTACAAGATTTGATTATCTCTCAAATATTGGACTATTGACTGAAAAAGACTAATGAACACATGGAAAGGTTTTATTATATAAACGACTGGAACGGTTTGGCAAGTTTTCCCACTTTTCGCTTCAACGCCGATTGAAGTCAAATGACCGTATTATGTTAATTTTGTTCCATTGTCATGTGAGGGGCTTTGTACTAACAAAATGGATCATTACTCAGTAAAGAAATGTCATTCTATTACATTTTCATTAATAAATATATGCCTGCCATTCATATCATAATCGAAACACTAGAAGGCTATGACCAACCTGACAAATACCACAGATTTGTTATGTTACTATGTTTCCTATAGATTATGGAAGGGTCACAAATGACGTCATTTTAGCGACCTAAGAAGCCAAAAGGTTTTTAGAAGGACTTTATATTTTGCTTTTGTCCAGTAAAACTTCTGAAGTAATCATATTATACAGATATTGCCTGCTTAAAGGAATAATATAACATTTGATATCCACGAGGGAATTATATTTTTTCGAGGGATTATATATTATAGCCCTAAGAGAAAAATATAATTCCCTCGGGGATATCAAATGTTATAATACACCGATAGAAAAGGCAATATCTGTTATATTACATAGACAAAAATAGATGCAAATAATTAACTGAACACATTACTTTAAATATCAAGAACTTTTATTTAACTTTTACACAATATCTGTTATATTACATATAGCCAAAATACTTCATATTACCTTCACTTTTTAAAAATGTTTCTGTAATCCGTAGCGTAGCGTTATCATTTATCGTTTAGCGTCCAATTCACCGTTTGCTCTCCTTACCTCAGCGTAGAATGACCGGAGAAACGCGTTGAGCTCCGTTGCTTTGAAATTTTCAATGCAAGTAGGCCTAGGACTAATTGATGATTCCTTGGACTTACAATATTCACCGAGTAGGAATATATTAACGGATGAATTCACAACAAATTTTGTACACCGAGAACCCTTTTTGTCAATAATTCTATCTAATTTGTCTTTGTCGAGAGATTTAAAAAATTTTTGAAGTCGCCATTTTCGAAGCGCTAGGCTTACACATTCACAATTCGCGAGCGAGCGATCGATCGTGCACTCGACTAGCATTCATTACGGGCGCAATGCGGGTGTAATCCGGTGACGTTAAAGACCGGTCACTTTTCAAAGTTATATTTTCCTACGGGAAAATATAACGTTTCCGATCATAGAGGCGCTAGCAACGTGATGCCATTTCGACCAATCACGTACTCGTATTTACATAGGCTATATAATATCATGATATTAAGTATTATATCAGTCTCGAGCTGATAAAAGTTGTTCCAAGAACAGCTTCAAACAATAAAAATGTTGGTGAGTTAGAGTGAGAGAAACAAGCTTGAAACCACCAAAAAAGCAAATTTCTTGTAATTTCCTGTTTAAAACAGCAAAAAGAGGTACTGTCATATAGTCCGGTAAAACTACAACAATTTTTTTTTTTTTTTCACAGTATGTTAGAGAAATTTTTTTCGAAACATAATCCACTTGCACTGTTAATTGGACATCATATACTAGGCCTATAGGTAAAACGTACTTTTCTACCAAAATTGAATATTTTCTTTAGTGGTTAAGGCGGAAAATGTAACATTGGGGACCAATGAGTCAACCTTTCGATATGGGGTGTATTTTTGTACACCAAGTTATTGTGAGCATCTTAATTTATAAGGGTGAGTTTGTAATTGCCTAAATATATGTAGGCCTAATACGTTAGGTTCACTGTAGACCTGATGAAGTTCGTATTTATTTTATGAAATCCTTGACAGTAAACAACACTGTTACAACCGATGTTACCCCTCGTTTGAGTCACCTCTATTCAGAAGACACCCAAATGAGAGGACAAAACAAACAACCCTATTAACGGAACATGGTCAAAGCAACACATATATTCATTCTCTATTTATGGGACACTTAATTCTCTACTTTTTTCATCACATCGATTTTACGTTTTTGTTAGTTTCCCTTATTTAGACAACTGAAACTGGATTCTCCTAATAAGGGTTCTAATGTTACATTGCACTGTAGGCCTACAAATAAAATACGCTTACGCAGTACATATACATTGAGTTACCAGTGATACATGATCAAGTTTTGCTTTATAGCAATATTAGCATAACAAATGAATTTATTTATAGCAATATTAGCATTACAAATGAATTTACAAAAAACAAAACAAAAACAAATACAAAGTGTACCGTATATTTTAACCACTGTATTTTGAATTTTTTCCTGTTTGAGTTGGAGCGCGCCCTTATAGTCATTAAATTACTGTGTAGAGGGGCTTGCGAAAATGCTTCCGACTGACTAAAAATGTATTGCTAAAAAATTAATAATGTAGTACACATTTTGACCGGTATATATTATTAAATAAAAAGGTTTTGTATCCTTTTATTTAGGTGTTTCCAGTGTATGTCCCGAAGTCCATGGCCATGCAGTTGTATCACGGTCTTTGGTCGATAGCGGCAGCATCACCGGAGTAAATGTGGGTAACCCCATTGCCTGTGATGGATACATTAAAGGCTGGCGATTTTTTCCAACGACAAGTGCTCAGCTCATAGTGTTTGTTTTTCGCGAGGCTATCGCAGGAAAATATGACGTCGTAAGTCGAACCGTTGTTCCAGCACAAGATTATTTGAATGAAGTACGAGAGTATCATATCAATAAAGCGGACTGGATTCCAGTGTTTCAAGGCGTATTCATTGGCTTCCACCACAGTGGCAACCTTATTGGATATGATGAAGATGTAGGTGTCGATACGAGTGAATATCTTCTCGATGGAAGTGTACTACCAGATAACCTCATATCAGGCTACACCTTTCAAATTTCTTCTGGTACCGAATGGCGTACGTATTCTTTCCAAGCAATACTTGCAGGTAAGAAGAGACTAGCGCCTGGAGGATGGGGCTGGCTGGTGAATTTTAGAAATATAGTCCGGGCCTTACTAGGGGTCCGATGCAAATACTTTCAGTACTATCAAATTAAGTGTTTCTCACCAGTCGGTTGCCTTTTTAGGCAATGAAGACTCTGGTAGCTAACTACTCTGCCCCAATGCCAAAGGCCGCCTGTATTATTATTTTCTCCATACAGTTAAGGCAGAAATTACAGAGGGCGCTATTTTAGGTAATTTAGGTGAACACTGATATATGAGTAGCCCTGCATACTTGACTTTCTCCCGCGCGAGTCGGGAAAGCAGCGGTCGCTGCTTGATGAAAGCATATGAAGGCTACGTCGTAGCATTTGAGCGAGCCAAATGGCCGAGCGGTTAAGGCAGGGGCAAAGTGATCACAGCCAACATTATCGGCACGTGTTCGCGGCCGGCTCGCTTCTATAGTTCTGGTGGTGGAACTAGCCTTCTCGGATAAGGACTATAAACCGTTGACCCAGTGTACACAAATGCTCATGTGCACTTTAAAGAACCCAGTACATATTTCGAGATGAGTAGGGAGGTTCCCCGGTTTACTGGTTCATTCGGCCCCTGTCGTGGACAGATGAAAGTGCGCCGGTTTACTAACTGCTGAAGACATAAAGTGACCCTCATGAGAGGAGAAAGTTATTGAAAAGTACAACATCTAGTCCCGAGCGCACAGAGACCTCGATTATATGCGCTATATAAATCGATCTATTATTATTATTATTAGTAGTAGTAGTAGTAATAGTAGGGTAGGCTAAAAAAATTCTGGTAGTCCGTCGAGTGTAGTCGACAGTGAAAATTAATGAACCATTGTAATAATAATAATTATAATAAAACAATTTCTACTAAAATAAAATAAAAAAAAACACCTTATTGCCAAATATCAATAACCCTCTTACATTTTATTTCTTCCATCCATGTGTTCAATGGACTTTTCGGTCCAATTTCTTGTGATTCGTCGTCTTGTCTGTTTTTTTTTTTTTGTCTTTTTTTCTGTTGCTGTCGCTTCTTGTTTAATTTTTCTGTTCTCTTGTCTCTTGTTACAAGGCTGTCCCAACACAGGGAATTTGTATAATTATTATTACTTTGTATGCTTATTGTTTATTATCTAGATCTTCTGCAATATTATATTCTCGAATGTATAACTTACTTTTCATTACATGTTATATTTCATGGAAGTAAACAAATATTCTTTTGAATTTGAATTTGAATTCTTTTGAATTTGAATGATAATAGGCCTAGACGCAGGGTTCCCGGAACGCCGCCCTCAGCGGCGAGTGGGAAGCACAACTCAGGGTCAAAAGTGGAACGTGAAATTTGGATATGGTTTTGCAGTCAGATTTGCGAGAAAAAGTTCAGCTACCCGTATTCCGCGACTGAGACGTCAGTGGGAGGTTTTTGTATAGCAAGGAGATTGAGCAACCCTTCATTCATATTAAGGGAATTTACGCCCAGAAACATTGTAGTTATTATTATTTTGGTTATAATAGAAATATTCATTTTTTGTGACGTCACATGAGTTAGCATGCATACGTCATAAGCTAGATACGTTACCTTTTCCTGGTAAGGCAACTTTCCCTGCGTGCTTTTATGGATAAACATACACCATTGCTTTGCACATGGATGCCTTTGCTCAAACCAGGTCTAAGAGCCGCATTGTTAGCATTGTATAATACTTTAGGTACCTCTGCAAATGAATTATTCTTAGTTATTTTTTTTTTCTTATTTTAATTTATTTCTTTCGAAAGTGTACTTTCTATCACATATAATTCCACTGTCTTAGTTAGGCCTAGGCCTAGTCTTATGCCTCAGGTGTCCCCGCTACACAGTACATCAGCAGCCCCTCTCCAATACAGTACAGACGTTTGATAGGTAACAACGTTATTGCACCTTCCTTCCCAGGTGTTCATGTAACATTGGCATAATTGTTAGCTAACCAGTTGTGTGTATTTCTTTGTGAAAATGAGTACCGCGGCGTACTCATTTTCACAAAGCATTTACATCCCCTCTTGGAAAGAGGGATTCGAAATAATTGTATCCATATCTTCGCTAATTAAATTAATAACCGTAATTTAGCTTACGCTTATGAATTTAGGGAGCACTTAAAATGTGAAATAATAATTTCACTACCCGACAAACTCCGAACTTTATTCATTCGTTAGGCCTACATAATAGTTTCATATTGCTGTACTATACTCCAACATCACTGGCGCATGGTAACAACCAACTGACTGCAGACCATTTCCGGTCACACATTTCTCTCCATAACACAGCACCCTCTAGTTCCGTCACCTCTGGATACTGTTTACGTACATGTAATAATAATAGGCTATCCCTATGCCTAGATACTGTTTACCTACAACATGGTCTTTGAAAGCATAAAAAGTTGCGTTGCATCTATTCGGTTATTTCAGCAGTATAGCAGTAGATATAGCATGCTAACTAGCTACGCCTATAATACTGATTCTGAAGGATATAAACTTTTAAAAACGCTCGGACACATAGGCCTACTAAGAAAATTATATGTATATTTTTATTGTTGATTTTTTACAAACATTTAGTTGATTTAGGCCTAGATTTATATAGCAAGCATATTATAAACATTCATTTTACCAAAACTGACGATATTCTATACAGTAACTATATACTAAGTATACTTTGGTATACTAAGGCTGTATACCAAATTAAAACAATTGAATACCTTATTTAAAACGATGAAAAACATATGGAAGTAAAAAATTATTTTCACTGATTTACAGATGGTTAAAAAAAATCTTATATTTTACCAGCCAATGAGTCATGCAAAAGAATACAGCAAATATAGAATCACTGTCTGTTGAAAATTTTTAACTGTAAAAGGATAAGTTAACAACTTATGCCCGAAGTGCTCATAATTTGTCTCCGAGAATTTCTAAACGTGTTGTATCCTTCATAATCAGTACTTATTATAGGGGCATATAGTTGCTGAAAACAACACATGTCATATCTAGGCCTTATAAATTTAATGTAATCAAACAGGCAGATTCAATAATACTGTGCCTTTTATATACTCATTCAAAGACCATGCTGCACATAGTCATGGGGATATTATTAAAATTACAATCCCTTAATTTTCACACCCTCCTGACTACCAAGGCCTATTTAAGAGATTTTGGCCTATGCAGTAGCACTTGTCCACGCATAAGCACTGCAGCTTCCTCCTCGATACACCACTGAACTCTGTTTCGCGAGGAGGAAGTTAGGTATGCATATTCATGTGTATCAGTTCACCTAACTGACCTAAACTAGCGCCCTCTATAACTTAACTGTCTTAACTGTATGAAAAAAAAAAAAAAACAATAATGTGGGGCGCCTTTGGCTGCACTGTGGCAAACCCTAGCATGCATTATTTGTATGCATAAGTTTCCGGAACAAAGCAGGTACATAATAATTGTACATGGCGTACTTCTTATATTTGTTTTTAAAGTAGGTCAAAGAAGGTAAGCGTACCCCGACGCACCTGGCGTTTTAAATCACAGGGTTTTAAATATGTCGCTCAGACACAACACGAACTAAAATGATCAAGATAGTTTATATTAGTTCTTGAAAACCAGAACACGCGTGAAGCACTCAATGTTGTTATTATGGATTTTTGTGAGTGGTAAATAATATAAAAGTCATTGGCAACCGTACATTATAGCTGAATTGTACACTCTGTAATAAAATATAAAACTCGGCACCCATTTTAGGGGACCGGAAATAGTAAATATATATTTTAGCCATTATTATGTATAAGAACATTCGTCATTGACAAGAAAGGCTGTGTTACAGTAACCATAAACAAAACCAAGAACTAACAGCTGAAATATATATTCAACATCGGCATTATAAGCGATCAGTTGCTCGCGCGTCATAGAATCATAGAATCGCACCGGCTGACGTCGACCGCCAGGCGGTGTGAGTGCCTCGCTGAAAAGTGAACGATTTTTTAACACAGCTGCTGTACAGTAACAGCAAATTGGCCTACGCGCAATGACAAATGATATCATGATTTTTGAAACAGATATAAACTACTTTGTGTTTAGTTCGTGGAGTGAGTGACAAAATGTTTGAAGATAATAACTAAAATCAAATAAATGATGAAGACGTGCTATTTTACAGCTATATAATTTCCAAAAATGATCCTGAAGAATAAAAATCGAGGAAAAAAATATGTAATGCGTTCATGGGTTTTTTTTTTTTCTTCTATTTCTTGTTCACGTCCCAGATTTGGAGACGCCTAATTTTCAACTGATTCGATACTTGATGAATCCTAATTATTCAAATAGTGGTACCGTGACTGATAGAATACGGATGAATTTTTGTGATGCATTCAGGAATTCAGGTATTATAAACGGATGGCGATTTGTTGCTTCTAGAGCTGGAGATCTTATCGTCTTTGTGTTTCGAGCAAGTGACGTAAAGACCAATACCTACGAAGTAGTAGGCAAAACGCTGATACAGGTGACGTCAGCGGAGATTGATTTAGAGGTGCAGCGTCCGCTTAAATACTCAGAACAGATAGCTTTTCTGCCTGGCGATAGGATTGGCCTTGCAAACATTGACAGCGTATTGAAATTCAAAAATATAGTGTTCAGTATGAACTTTCAGACTTTAAAATCAGATACAAGACAAGATATCCGGAGTATTGATGTGGGATCACTAGTTGCGTTTACATCTAGTCAGTACAGATATTATTATCTGGAAGCTGTAACTAGAAGAAAATATGGTTAGTACATAAATTTAATAAATACATTTGATTTTACTTGCAACTGTTATCGGTGTATGGTAAGAATGGCCCCGGAAAAAATGGCCCCGGAAAAAATGGCCCCGGAAAAAATGGCCCCGGTAAAAATGGCCCCATATGACATGTAAGTAAAAATGGCCCCAATAATCAAATTCTGTATTAAAACTGATTTTCTTGAGTCAATATATGCATTTTTGTATCTTAAATAATTTAGTTTTTAAAAGGAATCTAACATCAAACAAATTGCCATTACAATTTACTTTTTGCAAGAATTAATATTCAATGATAAAATATTCAAAGATAAATAAAAAGCCATGAATTACACTTTTTTTTTCCATTTAAATGTTAAAAAATAGCAACAACAAAATCAATAAATCAACATAAATCATACATTTATTAATACTAAAATAATTTACTTGTGGCCGATTTCACGGTAGAGGAATCACAATTTTCCAGAAATTCAATC